AAAAAAAAAAAAAAAAAAAAAAAAAAAAAAACTGAAGCAGAAAAATGCAGGAGAAAGTAATTTCCTAGATGTTTGTTTTGGGTTTTGGTTCTCTTTGGCAAAGATCAGACTAAATAATCTGCTGTTTGTTCAAAAGATCTACCTCTGTTGTGTGTGTGTGCATGTTAGCAAAATATCTCATGAACCCTTGAATAGATTTTAATAAAACTCAGAGAGTTATCATCGGTTGTATCTTTACAACCCATAAACCTGTGGAGTCCAATTTAAAATGGTCACCACAACTAATTGCTTAGCCAACGCAAAAACGGCTACAGCTGAGTCAGTTTTGCAGATAATGAAGCAGAGTTTGGTGTGGTAGTAGCTGAGCATTGTTCACAACTCACACTCTGAGCTCTAACGATTAGCAAGAGTCTTACAGTATCATACACAATTTGTTTTTTCTTCCAGACAAGGCCTCCTCTGAGGCCGACCTGCAGGACTCCTCATCGGACAGTGAGGACGAGCTGATGGGTCAGTATCAGGAGGCGGTCAACCGCTCCCAAGGCCTCCGTGGGAGAGGAGCCGCCGCCTGCTACCCCAAACACCCGGGAGGTTTCATCTGGGAGAGCCGGCAGAAGTACAGCCCACTGACCGCTGATTACGGCGGCTACAGCAGCGAGGCCTCGGCCGATGACGGTAGGTCCTCCATAAACCTGTGCTCATGGCTTTTAACGCCCCCGTGAGCCTGAGATGAAAAGCAGATTCTTCTTCGCCTACAAGCACAAGTAGGCTGCACGAACCGAGGCACGCTGTCAGTTAAAGCGGAGGTGATCAAAGCGAAGCTCCCGTTCATCACACTCTCCATGGGAGGGTTGCAAACAGTCGACTGTCTGCATAATCTTCACATCTGCAGCAATGCTTCTTTTTTTTTTTTACGCCAAGATGTCAGTTCCCAGACTCCTCATGACCACGCTGCTCTCATGAAGCTTTAATTTTGTTTAGATCGACTGTCACTGCAGAAGACTGGAGGAGTGCGCTCGTTATTCATTTAACGTCACGCAGAAACGTTCTCCAACTGCTCTGTGAGTGCCTGAGAAGATAAACATCATTACTTTATTGTCAGATTCATCAAAATACGCAGATTTTCACCACTTTTATGTTTACCTCCAAACTACCACTCTGCCCTAAAGTCATTAAATCAGATCAAAGACAAAATAAAAGGCTCATCGTTCTCTGAAGGAATTCATATCACCAACCCTCTTTGCCCTTCCTGAAACAACCCGGACTCAAACTTGCAGCCTCACAGTAGACTGTGGCACTGACCACTGAGCTACCGTTTGTTAGAACTAATTGTAAGTTGAAGTTTGTATTTACAGATACAGTATTTCTGTAAAATTCACCAAGGTACAGTATATACATTTTTCTAGGCTGAAGTCAGTTAGCTATGACAGCCATCTTGAATTGAGTTGACTCCAAAAGTTAATCAGTCATGTGGGTGTGCATCCAACGATTACAAAGTTTCTGAAAGTTTCTTTAAAATCTGTTTAATTACTTTATTAAATATTTTGCTAACATAAAAAAGTACACTCAGACACAAGCTTAAACATTATCGCCCTGCCTTCGCCTCCAACAACGGATAATAAAAACTTCCAAAGTCAGAGATTAAACTTTTTTTTAAATTAGATGTACAGAATGTAAAAGTGGTTTAAATAGTGTTTAAATTGTTTAATGCCCTCAGTGAACTCAGAACTTTTTCCAAGTTTTGTTTAAGAAATCCATCATAAATCCTCACTTTTAATAACCTGAAACTAGGGAATATTCTCAAATAAATATTTAATTATTAAAAAAAATGATAAAAGATGAGATCAAGAAGGGTTAGGAAGCTTAAAATAAATAAATAATTAATGCAAAAAATTACGTAGAGCATTTATGGTTTGGATCAACTCTTGGTCTGGTATATTTGGTGCGTCTGAAGTTCTGATTCTTTAAACAAGGATTCAATTTGATTTTTTTGAGTTTAAACGTGGCTGGATGTGACCAGATCGTGTTGTAACTAAGGTTGTTGGATGTTATGAGGTTCCCATAGTTTCATTTGTAATTCAGTCCACATTGTGTCCGTCTTCTTACCCAGTGAGGTGTTATAGATTAGCTGATTCCAACACTGATATCAATACATATCGGTTTTTATTTCTGAACAGAATCACACAGAAGTGGATCGTTTCTCTGATTCTCCTCAGCAGCTAAAGGATGTTAATTCCTTTAATTTAACCCTGACCGTCTTAAAGCTTGGAGATGTTTGTAATTTTTTTTCTCTCTGCTGCTGCTGGAGGCTGTCAGAGGATGAAGAGCTGTATCCCCAGGACGAATGTTTTATACATGAGGAGAACCGAGCCGGAGCTGCCGAAATAAGGAGGCGAGGTGCTGTTCTGGCTTCACTCGACAAAACAAAATACAAAGGAAGCAGAAAGAATGTAACGATGTGAAATCTGGACCATTTCTCTGCTGTCAGCACCTCACTGTGACCACTAGATGATGATCGTGCCACACAGCAACTTTTTTTTTACAACTGCACTGAAAGCCATAATTGTTTTATTCTGGTTTAGCTGTTCATGCATCAAAACATTCGGCTCATTCAGGAGATGGAGACTGCGACTTTTGGTTTTTGTAACTTTAAAATATGGTAAATAATTAAATTTACAACCATTCTTCCCAAAGAAATAAATTAAGGTCACTTCAGTTTCTTCAAAAACATTAAAATCTGCTTCAACTACTGACTGTTTTTGTTTTTTCATGCTAATTTTAGCTTTTAGCTAGCCTTTTTCTACTTTTAGCTACCGTTCTGCTACTTTTAGCTTTCATCTAGCCTTTTTGCTACTTTTAGTTTTTACCTATTATTTTATTACTTTTACGTAACCTTTTACTGTTTTTGCACCATTTTGCTACTGTTAGCTTTCAGCTAGCTTTTCGTTATATTTATCTCTGAGCTTTTGTTACTTTTAAATTCATAATCTTTTGCTGCTTTTAGTTAGCATGTTGTTACTTTTAACTAATGTTTTTGCTTCTTTTAGCAAGCCTTTTGCTACATATAGCTTTAAGTTGGCCTGTTGCTACGTTTAGCTTTTAGCACCCATTCTGCTACCTTTAGGTAACATTTTGCTAGATGTACATTACGGCTAGCCTTTTGCTACATTTACCTTTTGAACTAGCTTTTTGCTACTTGTAGCCTGTGTTTTGCTACTTTTAGCTTGTATTTAGCTACTTCTTAATACTTCTAGCAAGTATTTTGCAATTGTTATGTTTTAGCTAGCATTTTGCTGCTTTTTGCCATCAGGTAGCCTGAAACATAGTTTTTCAAGTTGTGCACAAATGCAAAACTGTCTGTTCAGAACGTGATAACAAAACTTGTTGAGTTACCAACGGTTGCAGTTTCATCAGATCCTAAATATCACGTATCACACAAAACACAACTATTTAAGAAAAACAATGAAAAAGATAAAGCGAAAGATTAACCCCCCTGCCCCCCCACCAATAAAACATTTCCACATTGTCCATCTAGATGCTAACATTAGCCTGCCATCTCTTTAGAAACTCGTGATGTTTGTCTTCACATATAACAAATGCAAAACAGCTGAATTTAAGTTAGATAGTTGAGGATATTTTTTTCAAACACCTCCTTCAAAGCTTGAAGAAAGTTCAGAAACTGTTTTGTCAGTCACCGTCTTTCAGCTGCTGCACTGAAACATTTAAAGATGTTTTCACAGCATTTCAACACTTTTTTTTTAACATGTGGATTCATTTAAACACATTTTTCACTCAAACTCACTTTTTCCTCACATACACTGATATGTGAGATTAAGCAAACCGTGTTTTCACAGGCTGAAAGTCATCACACACATATGGTAAAACAGCTCTTGGAAAAAAAAAACATGATAAATGAAAGACAACAAAAGATTGCTGAAGATGCCAACAATTTTCTGTCAGGTCATCTGGACAGTTTCTTTTTTTGTGCTGAAACGTTTCACCTTCCATCCAGAAGGCTTGTTCACTTTGGAGTAAGCTGTTGGGGAAAGAATCAGTTTTGTGTTGTGTGGTTCCTTGTCTGATGAAGCCTTCTGGATGAAAGGTGAAACGTTTGAGCACAAAAAAAGAAACTATCCAACTGACCTGACTGAAAATTGTTGGATTGTATACCTGGATTATTGAGCGTGGACTTTGTTGATTGCTGAAGATGAGCAACAAGCTAAAGGCTAAGCTCACAGTAAATACTTTAACTTAAAACAGTGAGGCAGACATTCTTGCATGCTTGCAAATAAAAATTTGTAAATGCTAAACTAGGTTTTTAGTCTTTACAATATATTTTTATTTAAGTTAAAACCAGTTCTGTTTTTTGATAAAACACTGTGACTTGAGCAGAGGTCACAAAGGTGCAAGACTTCAAATACTTAAGTTGAATTTATTTGCCATGTGCAAAATCAACACAAGGTCATCAATGTAATGAAATGCTTGGGACTAGAAGAACTGTCTTGACCCCCCCCCCCCAAAACAAACAAACAAACAAACAAACAAACAAACAAGGAATATCAAATCATGCTGCAAAAATGCTAAAAACATACTAAAAATATACTATTAACATACTAAGAAAAACATATTAAAAAATACTACTAAAATACTAATAAACAAGGGTGGATTGCCCACATAAATGAGGAGTGTGGTGAAGAAGAGAGTCCAGACAGGATGGAGTGGATGGAGAAAAGATTCAGGAGTGGTTTGTGACAAAAGGGTGGCAGTAAATGTCAAAGGAAAGATTTACAAGAGATTAGTGACACCTGCATGTTGTATGGTCTGGAGACAGTGAAAATGGACTGTACTTATGTAGCACCTTTTTATCTTATCAAGACACTCAAAGTGTTTTACAATCTGTTCCCTCATTTACCCATTCATACTCTCTATTATATCTGTACAAAGAACAATCAGTGCTTTATCGCATTCATACACCAATGAGACACACATCGGAGGCAATGAGGGGTTCAGTGTCTTGCCCAAGGACAGTTCGGCATGTAACTGCTGGTGGAATCAAACCCCCAACTCTTGCATTAGAGGGCAACTGCTCTAACCATTCAGCCACAGCCTCCTAAAAAAGACAGGAGAAAGAACTGGAAGTGGCAGAGATGAAGATGGGAGATAAAGTTAGAGAGACCAGACTGAGATGGTTTGGACATGTCCATAGGAGGGACAGTGGGTATATTGGTAGAAAGATGTTAGACATGCAGCTGCCTGGAAAAAGACAAAGAGGAAGGCCTAAGGGGAGATATATGGATGTAGTTAGACATGGAGGTAGTTGGAGTGAGGACAGAGTGAGATGGAGGAGGATGACTCATTGTAGAGACCCCTGAAGGTTGAACAGCTGAAAAAAGAAGAAGAAGAAGAAGAAGACTGGCGCTGAATTGCTCCTTGTGTCACATCAGTTTAGAAACTCCTCTGTGCTGAGAGGTCAGGTGTGTTTCCTCCCTCCTAAATCTTTGGAAACGACTAAACAGAATAGCTGATATTTATACCAGATTCACAAAAACTGTTATCTCATTTTAAGAAATATAATAAGGCACAACAACCCGGAGAGAGGGGATGAAACTTTGTGAAGCAAAGCCGGGTTAGACGTGGGGAGGGATGGTAACCGTCCCAATTAGACGGCTGGAGAAAAGAGTTGTGCTTTTACACAGCAGCTTCCATCAAATCAACCGCCCCCGGCTCAGCAGGGAAAAAGCAGCTCAAAATGGATTTGCTCCTTTTATCAAGCCCTCCATGACACTTAGTTAAGACTCCTTTGCCTCCAACCCGCTGCTGAAATGTGCCACTTTGAGCTGGAGCCCCACTTACGTTATTAAGAGTGAAAGTTTCAAGAACTCGTAAGAAAGCTGGAACAATGTGTTGGAGGAAATTACGTCATCACAGTGTTGACTTTTTTCCAAAAGTTAGACAGCGTCAGAAGACATTTTTTCTTCTTCTTTCCTCCCTGAACTTATTTTCTTCTTCATCTTTTGTTTTCTTTGTTGTTTTTTGCAAGAGGCTGGGTTTAAAGCATTCCTCAGCGGCATCCCTGAGGGAGTATTTTCATCGGCTGCTCAATTTTTCCAAATTTTACAAGGAAGGAAGATTTGAGAATGCAGCCGACAACATGTAGGTGAGCAGCGTTAGGCTGTGCCTTCTAGCAACTGAAACATTCAGGAAGATGAGAGATGAACAGGTATTCAGTCCAATTATTTATCAGTGCTGATTTGATGTGGTAATTAGACTGTGCAGAAAAGATGCTTGTTTTATTTCTGATGACAACTTGACATAATGAGAATAAATTCTGCGACAAACTAAATGACACTCGGATTTCTCCAGAAAATGACAAGCTGCCATATTTCATCGTGTAGGCTCAGATAAATTTGATCAAACACCCAAACATTAGTCCATGCTGTATAAATATTATTTATTAAACAGTTTGTATTGCATAATTATATATGGGAATTTTAAGTGTGCAGCTATCTTTAAGTTCAAAATCTCTCCAGTAAACAAAACTATTTCTTTACCAAACAGTTTCTTTCGATATATTTAAATATTTAAAGAAGACAGTTTTCCAGGAATTAAATAAATGCTTGATATGAAGTAAAGAATTGTACTTTTTGCAAGAATCTTGAGTCCTGTCCACACTAACACAGATATATAGCAAAACAATATTTGTTGTTGTTGCATTAGCACCTTTTTTCATGTGCAAATGTATTTTTTTGATGAAAAAAATTGAGATTTGTGCAAATGCTTTCCAAAGTGGATAATAAAGCCAAAAGAGCAGAGTGAATTAGTGGGTATATAACAAATAAATATATTTTTATACAAAGAAAAGTTACGAGGGCTAAGCTCTTTAGATTATGCAAAATTTGAAATTGAAATTTAACATGTTGCTCTTTTAGTTAAATGTATAACCAAACAATGTTTTATTGGATTTTATCTAAAGTAATGTGTGCATTTTTCCCCAACCAGCCAATTGTATCCAGAGGATGAGAAGAACACCGCCACTGGATGAGCTTCAGCCGCCTCCCTATCAGGATGAGAACGGCTCTCCGAGGATGTCGTGCACTCTGTCGGACTTGGGCGATGCCAAATGCGATCTGTCCCAAACCAGCGGCAGTCCACACCTTTCTTTTGGAAAATGTTTGAGTGAGGGCAGCGACGGTCAAGAGTATGAGAGTTATCTCAACAAAGGCTACGAGGAGGATGCTCCCAGTGACAGTACAGCTGTCCTCAGCCCGGAGGTAAACACAAGACACAGAGAAAATACTGTGATTGTTTTGTTGCGCATTGAACATCCCATCGGTTTCTTTAGGTCATAGGTCATAGGTCGGCTGCGCGGCTCCCTAAAGGTTACGAGCCAGACTCCGCTGCCAAATATGGCACCCTGGACGTCGTGTTCGACTACGACTCAGAGGAGCAGCGGCTGACTCTGACCATCATGGCAGTGACTGATCTTCCCTCCATCAAACACACTGGCAACATTTCCTGGCAGGTCCACCTGGTGCTCCTGCCAACCAAGAAGCAGAGGGCGAAGACGGGCATCCAGCGAGGCCCGTGTCCCATCTTCACTGAGACATTTCACTTCAGCCACGTGGAATCCGAGATGATCAGCAATTATGCCCTCCGATTCCGCCTTTACAGCATGAGACGTATGAAGAAGGAGAAGGTGTTTGGAGAAAAGGTGTTCTACCTCACCAAGCTCAACCTTCAGGGCAAAATGTCTGTGCCGGTCATATTGGACCCCTGCTGTGCACTCCCGGTAAGGGGGATCAAAGCAGGCGCTCACTAATTGCTCCTCTTTGTTGACTGATCTTTATTTGATTGGATAACGCGCTAATTAATAATTAAGAAACTTCAGAATTTATAATCGTCCTTTTAGCTGTGCTAGTTTTGCTTTGTTTCTTTTTTTCATTGGTCTTTATAATGAGAATAGGTAGCCGTCTTTGTTTTTGTTTTTTTTAATGAAGATAGACAGCATTTTAAAATAATGCAATATTATAATCTATAAATAGATTCTGTAAGGCCTTTTTTATGAATTAACTTATTTTCAAGTATATGTTGTTTGCAATATTTTTCTGCAGAAAACAGTAGATGGAGTAAAATGGATGTCAGAAACATATTGTTTACAGACATTTATTTTGTATATATTTATGTAATAATTTAGAGAATCTGATAAACGGTAACATTAGCATCGTGTTGGCGTTGAAGCCATAGCATTATTCTGCTCTGATTACGTAAAGCATAAAACATCTCACATTAATAGCTGGCTGACTAATAGCACCATCAGACTCTTGATTTATTTTTGTTTTGTAACGTCTCTTGTAAACATTAGGTAATCGAGGCAGTGTGCAAACTGACGATGATAAATATTTAATCTCAAACAATAAATTATTGATGCTGCAGTAAAGTTGTCTGAATGTTTGGAAACATTTGCAGGGCGGTGAATCCCAGGTCAGCCTCTCAGATATGACTTGCAGCGAAAGCGCCTCGTCGTTCCAGTCCGTCAGTCAGTCGTCCATGCCGGAGATCCTCGTGGGCTTGATCTACAACGCCACGACTGGCCGTCTCTCTGTGGAAGTCATCAAGGGCATCCACTTCAAAAACCTGGCTGCCAACAAGCCACCCAGTAAGTTCCCAAAGTGTCCTCTTGTGTAATCAGAGTTTTCTGTTTTGTTTTGGATTCTTGAATGAAAAGGATGTGCTGATCCTTAGTGTAGGGCTTTACATTGTGTGGGTTTGTTTAATATACAAATAAATACTCTGCACAGCTTTTAACGTTAAAGATAATCTGCACTATCTCAGCTGTGCTACATTCTCCTTTCAAGTCCAACCCCTTGTTTCCTTCACCTGGTCATCTTCCAGGAGTCCAAGCAGCAAATTCAGACAAATAAAAACCCTCTTGTTGAACTTTGTGCAGTGTTTTTGGCTTTCTGACCCCGTTTCTCTCTCCTCACATTTTTCTGTCATGTCTGCACCTGAATCTTTCTGGTCCTAACCTTTTTGACGTCTTGGTCCGTTGTTTTTCTTACTGCTGTCCAACCCTTGTTGTCAGACGGGCTGTTCTGTTGTCTAAAACACTTAATAGGTGGACAGGTTTATATAATCAGAGGTGAGTCTCTGCTCCTGTTGCAGGCAAACTCTGGACCTTCTAATACTTCTTCATGGATGCAGCTCACAAAACTGAGAACTTGGACCCATTTCTCCTGACAGGAAAATGACAACATAAAACTAAACAAACCAACATGTAGATCAAACCGTTACATTTTAAAGACCACCTACTTCCAGTGATCTGTTCGGATCTTATTATTTTTTGCTTAATGATTCAGATTTAGAACATAGTTTGTTCTATACTGGGACATTTGTGATAATAATATTGTGCAGAATAAAAAAATAAAATTACCAAGCACTTTATGGTGGAGGAGTTTTCAATGATTAACAGTAGAAACAAATTTAAGTTAAAGATGCAACAACAAGAGTGTAGCGATCAAGAGATTAGTTTGTTTTATTAAAACAAATAAAAATAAATTAAATCAATCAAGCAGGGATTTGCACATTTTTCTTTTTGCACCAAATATTTCACTTTCCCTATTTTAAAACATTAAATCTTATATGACAAACATTTTCTGGCTTTTTTTTTTATTTTTAATTCAACAAAATTGGTTAAAACAGGTTAAATCTAACCTTTGCCATTAAAGCATTGTAAATAGGCCTGTCACGATAACAAATTTTGCTGGGTGATTAATTGTCTCAGAAATTATTGCGATAAACGATAATATTGTTTGAAATTTTACAATAATTAGTAATTATTGTCAAATTTAAGAAGAAATGTTTTCTGTCTTATCTTGCTTTGTGTGTAGTACATTGTTTCATCCACCTGATGACAGGATAAGACTGTTTGAACCAAAAGATGGATAGTGAGGGAGCGAGCAGCGTGTCTCTTTAAGAAAAATGAGAGGGAGGCGCTGTGGAGCTTTGACAAAACAGAGGTTTTTCTTTGAGGTAAGCTCGTAGCTTAGCTTCTCAGCTTAGCTGCTTTGAACGATCCAAAAACACAATTTTGGACGGTTAAAACAGATTTTAAAGAGAACAGAGCAATGGAGTTGAGCCTTGTCTTCAGTAGAAAGAGACACGAAGAAACGATAAAACCGATAAATGAAAATGAGGTCGTTAATTTTCATTCATCATGCGATTAATTGATTTATTGTTTAATGCGACAGACCTAACTGTAAATGTTAAATTATTTAATAAACGCATTTTGTGCCTGAAAAAACAATTGTTTAAATGTTTTCTATCTCTGTTATAAATGCTAATGCATGACACAAATCGGCATAATGTCGCATGGATGCACACGATGGTTTATTACATGTTGGTTTAAGTGTTTATTGGTTCAAATTGAGAGTAAAGTATGAACATTTTAAGGGCTGAAATGTTCTTTTTGACATGGGTCTCAGTTTCAACAAGAAATCATTAGTTTAGTTTATAAAAATCTGAACATGCCATCTCAAACTGGGTGATACGAACCAGCAGTTGGTAATTTAAATAAAAATTAAATTCTCACCTCATCCATGAAGAAGTTCGCTTGTTGCCTCACACCAAATGTACGTTTTTTTCATGCACGTGACCTCGCCTCCTTCACCTGCCTTTTAGCCCCTCGTGTGTTTGTGACGCTTTAAAGCTTTTTAATCTGCGAAACATTTTCATGCTGAGTCACTTTGCTTGGTTGCTGAAGGACGGCTCTAAAAGGACTGTTGTGTGTCATTAAGTGCTGGCTTTGCTCAAACAGTACACTTTGGCATGCTTTTCACATTTTTCAGCTCTGCTTCCAGCTCACGAAACAGAAAACGTCTTCTGTAATAGGCACGCTCACTGTCCTCATTTATTGCCATGTTACTCGTATTCACAAACTAATAACTAGCTGCCAGATTGTTGTTTGTGCATTCCTGAAAAGCATTTCCACATAGTCTTCAAATTGTACCCAGAAAATAGTCACATCTGGTTACGCTGAAAAAAAGAAACAACCTTTGTGCAAAAATACTCACGAAGGTCTTGATTGACTTCCACAAAGCGGGAGGGGGGGTGGGGGGAGGCACGTAGCACTTTCAGAGCTCCTTTTCTATCATTTCAAAACAGTAGCGAGCCGACAAGTCAAGTCAATCATCAGAAGCAGCCCCTCTCATTCAACAACAATAGCAAAGAGCCCTGCGTCACCGCTACTGACCACTTAAGACATCCACAGCTCCGCAGAGCCCATTCAGCAGGAGTCAGAAAAGAAATCAAGGCTATTTTTTTTCACTCTGCTTTTATGTCAAAGAGAGCAACTGAATGTGCGATTCGAGACGTTGGAAAGCAGCTGGCACTCGACAGCATGAAAGCCTCGGCAATTCGTTTTGTACACTCCCTCTCAGACGGGAACATAATGCACGGCGTTATTGCGGAGTGCGGTTGTAGACGAGGGGCGAAACACTCTCATTGTGATTGCCTCTTTTCCTTTCAGCTCCATTTACGGCTCCGGTTTGTGTCAAGATTTCTGCATGGAAATAAGGGGCGAAAAAGAAATCGGCGGAGGCCAAAAAAAATAAAAATCACTTGATACAAGCAGCGTTTCTTTATGTTTTTTAAAGGGAAAATGTCCTGATAATTTAGGAACCATAAGGTAGCTTTTTGAATATTTCTGAATGGCTACGACATTGAAATTCTCACTTGAGAGAGTGCTGTGCAAAAGTTTTGAGCAGGTTTGAAACATTTCTAAGAGCACTTAATTCTAGAATAGCAATGCTATGTGAGCAGAAGCCAAATCTAAATCAGTAACAACAGATATTCTGTGGAGGTTTATGGCTTAGATCCTTCTGTCTCATATTATCAGTAACAACCAGGTCAATCTGCACAGGTTGTACCATCACTTCCAGGACTCTTGTTCTGCTGCAAATGGTTTTTAATTAGTTGTTTGTTTGGGGTTGTTGTCCTGCTCCAGAATACATTTGTGTCCTATCAGGCGACTTCTTGATGCAACTACATAATGAATGATAATGTTCTAATATTTCTGAGCATTGAGGACACCACTAACTCTGAACAAATCCCCAACTCCATTTACAGGAATGCAGTCAAAACCTTGTAATCATCATCATGCTACACTATAAAACCTGATTTCTTCAGCCAAATATGTCCAAATGTGACCCATCAGTCCTCCTGCTGATATTTTTCTGCACTCCAGTTCCTAAGTTTTGGTTGATAGTTGAGTCCCTCGGCCTTATTTCTAACATAGAAGCGTTTTGACCAGAGTTATTTCATTGAAAACACTTCTGTTCTTGCTGTTCTGGACGGCAGATGTGTCCCACAGGTGACACAGCTGGAAGTCCTTTTTATTTTAAAGGAAATAAACTGCGTATCTTTCACCTGCCGCTCTAAAATTATTTGGTGTCTATCATCAATGTTGCTCGTCCTCCTTCTTCACAAAATCTTTACAGCCGCTGAAACTCAGTCTGCTCTGAAATCTTTTCCTGGCAGAGACCTTCCTGGTATGTCTTTTTGCCTGTGATACAAAAGGTAGCTGTTTGTCCTTCACCAAATTTAAAGCCTCCATCCCTATTTACCTTGTTGATGTGAATTAAATAATCATACATCTGAATATAATCCTAAAAATTCAGACTTTGTGCGAGTTTTACTCCAATATCTGTGCTGTTTTGAAGACAAAGGCTGGTGTTTCTTCTGTTTTTCAACCCTGCTCGAAGCTTTAGCGCTGTGCACGGTAAACGTCATGATTTATCGGAGTTAATGCATGCTTCATCTGATTCATAAGACTTGCACTGGCTCCAGAACACGTGATCTTTGTTCTGGGTGGAGCGTGTTTTTGGGACACTGCCCTCGGCTCTGAAAATCTTTGCTTAAGTCGTGACACTGACTCTCTGTCAAAGTCAGAGAGAATTATAGCATCTCCTCGAGGTATTTCCTGAATCAATTAATTTCAGCTGCATGTTCTGTTTCAGTGCAGGCTCCTCTTCTTCTAACTACAAACAGATGCATCGCTAACTAAAGAAACTCTTGTGATTTTATCTTTAACATCATCTCCCACTCCAGGTTAGACACACAGCAGTTGCATAGCAACAAGAATAAAGTTAACGCTTCGTGCAACCTTTTGAGTTCTTGCTCTCAGTTATCGTGAGCACTCGCAGCTGTGCTTTGTGTTTGATCAGGAGAAAACTGCATCCTATGTGGTCATAGTCTTACTCATAATCTGCTGTGACATTATTTCAGGAGCAAGTGCTTCACCAGAAAAATGGGTCACACTTTGCAGCAGAGGAAACAGCTGCAGCAGGTTTAATGTTCAAATTAAAACGGAAAAGATTTTAGTGTGAGGATTTTGCACAAAGGATCCATTACGCCATGATAGTAACTAATTCATAAATAACTACTAATATAAAGATTTGCATTGCAAATGTATCTTTCCCTGATGTTCTGAACCTGCTTCTTGTTTAGATACGTACGTTAAGCTGACCTTACTGAACTCCATGGGCCACGAAATGTCCAAGTGTAAGACATCCATCTGTCGAGGCCAACCCAACCCGACCTACAAAGAGACATTTGTCTTCCAGGTGGCTCTTTTCCAGCTCTCTGATGTCACGCTCATCCTCTCCGTCTACAACAAGCGCAGCATGAAGCGTAAGGAGATGATTGGCTGGATTTCTCTGGGCCTGAACAGCTCCGGAGAGGACGAGCTCACCCACTGGACTCAGATGAAGGAGTCCAAAGGACAGCAGGTCTGCCGCTGGCACAGTTTGCTGGAGTCCTAACGGTGATGGAGGAGCAGGTTGAGGGGATCTGAGCGAGGACAGCCACAAAATGCAGGTTCATCACAGATGAACCCGAGGGGTTCTGCTGGAAGACATGATTGGTGAACAAGAGTTGTTGTTGGAGGATTTTGGAATGAACCAAACATCTGCACTCGTGTGTCCAACTGCTCATTTCACGGCACTGTGGGTCAAATGACCACCGACAGTTGGTGATTCGATTTTTAGTTAATAATCCTGTGTGTGTGTGTTATTGATTGCTTTGGATTGATTTTTAATGATCTGGATAACACGAGTACCCACACCTCCAGTTCAAACAACTGATGCCAGAATGACTCTAAAACCCTTCATGAAACCTCTCATTAAATTAGTAATTAAAACAATCCCGGCGAAAGCTGTTTTTTTACACTGTCAAAAGTCCAAACAATCCAGATTACTAAAACTTTTCTTCAAAACGCCAAAGTTCATGCTCAATAATCCAGGTATAAAATGTAACAATGTTCAGTCAGGTCATCTGGATGATTTCTTTATTTGCTGAGACGTTTTGGCCTTCATCCAAAGGACTTCTTCAGTCTGAGGAGCCACCAAACAAAACTGATTCCCACAAACAGCACACTCCATAGTGGGAAAAAAAAAAGTTGCTGGTGCTAAGATGGCGTCTGGGGCCCGCCCTCTCCCCCGTCAACTCCTCTGAGACAGTCATGCCAAAGTGGTTCAAAACACCAAAGTTCATGCTCAATAATCCAATAATGACCTGACTGAACATTGCTGGATTTTATACCTGGATTATACTAACTTCAGACATGCAACTTCAAAAATTAGAACATCTGTCAGAGTTTTAATAGGATTTGGGTTTATTTAGCTTTATGTCCTAAAGGAGACGAACAGGAATAATCTGAGCTAAGCTTGGGTTTATTTAGACAATTTGAAGGAAAAAAAAAAGGTTTGCTTAAAAAAATCAAATTTAAGCATTTGCTTTTACATAGTCAAAAAGAAAACACTTCTCAATTAGTTTTAATATGTCTTGAAAAGGTGTTTTTTAAGTCGTCTTATAAAAACTGAAATTTAAACCTTAATATAAATATTTTAGATCACGTTTACAGAGTAAAGTCTCTAAAATGTCTCCTAACTGATGACGAAAGTTCAGTTATTCTCTGTTTTTATTGACACAGTACCAACTGCATTCACTTTTTTACAAAATACCTGTTTTCTGATCAGGTTAAAACGTTCTTTTGTTATTTTGAGAAACAGAATTTTATTAATTTCCCCAAATTTAGTCATTATATAAAACTGATGGTTTGGACAAAGGTTTTCAACCTTTTTTTTTTTTAAAGATATTTTTGCATCATTTGGCAGCATTTAAATCATAGTCACTTCACTGTTACTGTTTTTATTTGCCAAAATAACGTAGATGTGTGGCCTAATCTTAAACCTAACCAAGTTGATTTGGTACTTAATCCTAAACCTAACCAATTAGATATATCCCCTAATCCTAAACTTAATCAAGATTTGTTGCCCAATCCTAAACTCAACTAAGTATATCTATGGCCTAATCCTAACTGAGCACATTCATTGTCCAAATCTAAACCTAACCAAGTGGATACGTTTCCTAATCCTAAGCCTAACCAATAGAAAGCAACAGAAAATAAATCATGGCTACATCATAATTTTGCAACCACACTGAAGACATTTTGTTTTATGCACTCACAGTTGTAGACTTCCTAAATAATGTTCACTTAGAGAAAACAGACCCAAAGTCTTACGGTTTCCCACCACAGGATCTGCTGTGCAGCAGTTTAAACGACTCCTGACTTTGGTTGTTTGATCCGGAAGTGTGGCGACAAAAAGCTGAAGTCCCTGCTGATGCTAGCTGTTCATCACGCACGAATCACACGCTTGTCACGCCATAAATATACAAAACACAAGAAACAGGTTAGTGGATCAAAAACTAAATCCAGCTTCTGGTCAGGCTGAAATCAAAGTTTAATTTACTTCACAAATCTGCAGACTGATTTAAACACATGCACGACTTTGTAAAGATGGTAGGAAGTTAAAGAAAATTATTGTGCTTCTTTTAGGAAAATGTATGAATGTTGAGCTGATAGTGAAGTAAAACCACCGCAAATGATCTAACTGGAAAAGTAATTTTTACCTAAATGTTTTTTGTGGGAAACACCAGTTTGTGGATAGAGTTGTTTTCATTTCAATGACTGGTGGTTTTGTTACAATTTTAAAATCTATTGCACAACTTTAAACCAATTGTTTTCAAGGAAACAATACACTTTTTTTTTTTTTTTGTGGATAACAATAACTACTGTACATCCCAGTTAACAGGTGAGAATAAACACCTTTTGCCTGCTCTGGTGCTATAAACGAGCTGCGGCTGCACACGGGAGTCTTTGCCTTATGACCGTAGTAAATTCATACATTTTTTGAGGAAACGGACACGCTGATTCATCGTCACAGAAAGCACCATTTAAATGAAGTGGTTTAATTCGACTAACTTTCAGAATGTCTGCAGACCTTTGACTTTAGCCTCTTTTTTTAATTAACAGACCAGAGGAAATCCACTTTACATGTGCCCGTGGTTGTGGTTGAGGTTGTGCAGTGTTTACAATCAGTGTGTGTGTGTGTGTGTGTGTGCGCGCATGCGTCGGACTCTCAGATGGGTAGTTGTCGCCTTTTTACATTAGATGTGGACATTTCTGACTTAGAAAACAACTTATCTGTCTGGTTTATACTTTATATTAGTAAATGTTTCTTAAATATTTTTGTATCTGCGATGAGGAACAGCTCGTGTTGTTATTTAGTCGGATATTAACCCACTCTGTGAGCAATACGACTGGGAGCACTGGTTTTACGGAACAGCAGTGAAACACACCAGGTGAAAGATGGATGGTTGATCCAAAACGTGTTTTATTTAAAAACTATTTGATTTAAGCTAATAAATCATATCTAACACTGAGCGACAAAATTATGGCAAAATTAGAAATTTTTTAATGTTGCTTTATTATTTTTTCATTCTCAGTCTCAAAAGTTTCGAAATGATCCGTAGCTTGTTGAAATTTTCAACTAATCTGGTAAGCTAGTTATGTTTATGAGAGTCTCGGTTTGAAAACTTAATTTTTATAAGTCTTGAGAGGTGTCCCCTGGAATTACAGCCCTAAATTTAAAAAAAGGCAGCCGGCAGAGAAACATGGTAAATTTCAAAAGAAATTATGAGGATTTAAAGCTTCACTTTAATTAGAATCTAAGATGACGTTTAGATGCATGAACCGGTCACCATGGTAATCACACTGTTGTCTCTCACTCACTGACAGTAAACATAAAGATACAGGCAAATAGAAACTCCAACTATTAAACACAAAGTGTCACTGTGATCCGTAAGAAACTCTATAATTGTATGTTATAGAAGCATTTAGTCATCATTTTAGTACCATGGTTCTCAAACCTTTTTATAAGAAGTACTGCCGTACAAATACTAAGCCCTCCAAGTACCACCGATATGACAATCTACTGGTCTACCTGAGCGTCTAACCCTGACCTAAAAACCAAACCAGGCTCTTTATCCCAAGCTTAACCCTTCACCGAACACAACGAGGCCCGATCAACCCCAGCTAGGCTGACCTTGGGTGAAGATGTTTGTGGTAAACACCCAAAGAACCTGAGGTCCACTATGAAGAATGTTCCTAAATCCTAACAACAAACCGCAACACATTTGGATTGCTAATAATTAGTAATTTTAACAAACCATTTATTCCTGGGCTGAACAAAGTAGATGGACGCTTGATAAAGTGTTGGCATCTTTGACTACTTAGAGCTAAGTGATCTGGTCGTTGGACTGATTCTTTCTCCATGTTTTAGCTTTACATCATCAATTCCATTTATGATGGTGGATCATCTTGATTTTTAAGTAGCTAATACCAAAGTTTCCACGACACGGATCCTGAGTACAACCAGTGGTATTTGTACCACAGTTTAGGAACCATGGATGAAGGAGATCCATCCATCCTTCCACTTGGTCCGAAGTCGGGTCATGGGGGCAGCAGCTTGAGCAGGCATCCCTTTCCACAGCCATCTCTTCCAGCTCTTCTGGGAGGATTCCAAGGCATTTGCTCTCAGTTGGCCTGGGTCTTCCCTGTGGTCTCCTCCCATTCGGACATGCTCGAATCACCTCTCTAGGGAGGCGCCCAGGGAGAATCCTTACCAGATGCCCGTACCACCTCAACTGGCTCCTCTCGATGTGGAGGAGTAGCGGTTCTACTCTGAGTTCCTCCTGGATGACAGAACTTCTCACCCAATCTCGTGAAGGGGAGGCCAGCTACCCTGCGGAGGAAACTCATTTCAACCGCATGCATCCGAAATCTAATTTTTTCAGTCACTACCCAGAGTTTGTGACTGTAGGTGCGGGTAGGAACATAGCCCAACTGCTGTACCGGTACAATGGACCGGTACAGAGTCTGCAATACCGCAGATGCTGCACCAATCCATCTGTCAATCTCACGCTCCATTCTTCACTCACTCGTGAACAAAACCCCGAGATACTTGAACTCCTCCACTTGAGGCAGAACCTCACCCTCGACCCGAAGAGAGCAATCCACCCTTTTCTAACTGAGGACCATGGCCTCAGATTTGGAGGTGCTGGTTCTCATCCCAGCCACTTCACACTTGGCTGAACCGCTCCAGTGAGAGCTGAAGATCCTGGCATGATGACGCCAACAGACCGCATCATCTTCCAAGAGCAGAGATGGAGACTCTCCGCCCCCTGGCTGCACCGAGAAATTTGATCCATAAAAGTTGAGCACAGAATCGGTGACAACGGGCAGCCCTGGCGGAGTCCAACTCCCACCCTGAAGGGGTCCAGATGAAGGAGATATAGCAAGTTGAAAAGGACCGTTCACTTCTAATTAAAAAATAATTAAGCTAAGATACACTGGAAGCCTATGAGAGTTTTTGTGCATGCACTTTTGGGGAATTCAAAACAAAACCAAAAGCTCGACATCAGCGAGAGACGCTCTGGGTGGAAGAAGACAAAAGCTCCTGTGTTTTAATGTGTAAATTATATTAGTGTCAATGTCAATTTATTTATATAGCGCATAAAAACAACAAAAGCTGACCAAAGTGCTTTTAAGACAGATAAAAGGTAAAAAATGCATCTAGTGCCACTCAAAAACATAAGAACGTTAACAGTAAAATACAGCACACAACAAGAATAAAACTCAGCTCGAACTTTGTTCTCAGACTCTGCGTGGATCAAATGCCAAGGAATACAGACGAGTCTTAAGCAAAGACTTAAAAGTCTTGCGGTCTGTAAATGATCAGGTAAACTTTTCCACAGTTTTGGAGCAACAACCGCAAAAGCCTGATATTAGAAGTGTGAGTTAAACGAGCTTGTTTGTGACATATTTTGAAGGTTTAGACAGATAAAAAACGAGTTTGTCATCATTCCAAGTGCTAAAACTTCCCCCCAAAATCAACAAACTTAAGCTGCAATTGTAGAAAAACAGGTAAAGATGTCAAAATGCTGTTTCAGGCGTGGAAAGTCCACCTTTCTGTGACTCATTTAAACATTAAACAATGTTTAATTAGCCTGAGCTGCTGTTTGTAACTTGTAAACAGAGTAGCACGTCCCATCTATTAGATTTATTTCCTGTAAAATTCTAATTTAAAAACCAACATAAAAAAACTTCGCACCACTCCGATTGGGCTCCAAGTTTGAAAAAACCTTTTATCGACTGTAGGACAAATGAAACGTTTTAACTGGTTCCCCATTGTTTTAACTGGTTCCCCATTTTCAATTAAAGAACTGAATTATCATTTGACAAAAACATTTCAACTCTTTTCACTTGGCGTGCTTTCAAAGCTTTTAAAACTGTTCTGTAAAAAGTTACTGATCTTATTATATTTTTTTTGAATCTGTTCATCTTAATTTGTGATTTTTATTCGTTTTACTTTATGAAATACCCGTGTCCGAGCCGACATCGGTGCCTTACTGTTTTTGACTCAACATTCTCGTGTCGCAGTGTCTTAACAAACCTGTAAATGTTTTTTTTTTTTTCCTCTGTACATAAAGTTTAAATTGTAAAAAGTCTTTTAAATTTATTTACAATAGAATGAGTTTGAATGTGATGATAGTATTGTTTAAAAAATAACAAAATGAAAAAAAAAAATCACTTGTGTTTAAGAAGTTTTTTGCATCTTGTCTGCTTTCGTAAAACTTTAAGTGGCTTTTTTTAATTAAATCAACCAACAGGGGGAGCAACTATTTCACTTCTTCTTTTGCTTTGTTTAAACTCCAGCATTGGTATAAACTTATATACTTGTTGTAGTTTCAAAACGTAAACAAGTTGTTTACTATTTAACTAAACATCTAAAAATGTCAAAGATGTCAAAGGATGAGCGATCAGTTCTGTGAAATCAGTTTAAACAGTTATCTTTTGTAAGACGTTTATGTTTTGCTTCTTGTCTCTGCCTCCTGAGGTTTTATCACTCTGTGACACAAAAAAGTGAACTCAGTGAGGAAAGAACGGACCTAAAATCAAAGTTCTGAACATTCCTCCTCTGAACCAAGTGTTTTTAGAGGATAGATGCTGGAAAATAAGATTTAGTGGCTGCAGTCGAATCAAAGGAAATGAATAACAGATGAGTGGAGACCTGCTCCCTCCCCTCTTCTCTTTGTGGGTCACGTCTCTCCAAAATAAAACCTCTCCAAGAAAGAAGTCAACGCTTCCATGTCCGGTCGTAAAAGGTAGAACTCACGAAAGCAAAAGAACTTCATTCAAAAGAGATCGTTGTGTGTGGAAACATTAAACTATTATTTAATTAACAAATTGGTCGAGAAGCGGCGAAATATAAAGTTGGTTTCGTATTAGAACAACGGAGTTAAACTTCTGACTAAAAACGACAAACTAATGAGTTTGTGTAACTTACAGTAGATTTTCAACTTGGTTTGGTTAAAAGGTTAAAATTACAAACTGTAAATATAAAGAAAAACTTAAAGTTGGCTACTTATTTAACATAGTTTCTTCCCTGGTTACGTTCCATGTCCCAAGAACCAGATTTGTTTTAAAAGCCAGGGTTAGAGCACCAAGGCCCCTGCCTTCGACCACTGCCCATGACGCCATGCACCCGACATGCATGGCCCCTCCTGCAGGTGGTGGGCCCACTGGAAGGCATGTTGCTTGTTTGGGCTGAGCCCAATGGGTAGAGACCCAGTCACGAGGCGCTTGCCGATGAGCCCCGGGCCTGGCTCCAGGATGGGGCCCGGGTAACCCACGTCTGGGCAAGGAACACTGATCTGCTGAATCAAAACGTTGAAAAATTGCATATTTTGACTTTAATGCAGTTCTTTGTTAAGTTCAAGAGCTTTCAGTGAAGGAAAAAAAAGAAGATTTAATGTTTGTTGTTGTCATTTTCTTTATTTTATTTGTATTTATATTTTCTTGTTTTGTTATTTCAGGGGGTGGCGCAGTGGGAAGAGTTGCCGCTTTTCAGCAAGAAGGTTGCCGGATTGAATCCCAGCCGGGGCGGCTGCTCTGGGTGATTTGCATGTTCTCTACATGCATGCATGGGTTTTCTCTGGGTACTCTGGTTTCCTCCCACAGATCAAAATGGCCCTGTGATGGACTGGAGACCTGTCCTTGTTGTCCCGCGCCTTTCGCACAGTGAAAAGCAAGTGACTCGAAAAGGAAGAAGCGGGTAAAGATAATGGATGGATGGATGGATGGATGGATGGATGGATGGATGGATGGATGTTATTTCATGGTGCAAATGAGTTGAGTTATATATTGGGGAAAAACTAATTAAAATTCACCGTTTAAAAAACAACAACTATTTTTAACTTTTTAAAAACATAACCACTGAAAGTATGGAAGATGAACCGAGCCACAGTTGGAGACAAAAAATATCCTAAATTCTAACTTTTGTTCTCAGAAGTCTGAAATTGTTCAAAAATCTGGATTGTTTTGTTGTTGTTGTTGTTGTTTATGGCGCTAATCCTCTTCTGAACATGGCACCTATGCGGGGAAAAAAATCCGAGCTGTCCCTGAACTCCTCAGCGGCAATTGACCGGAAGTGGGGCGGAAAGGGGAGGGAGCCAGAAACGGTGACTGTCTCCTTGTTTTCTCCGCCTTCGGTTCATTTCACGTCTCGGCCGGGCACGGTAAGCTCCTCCGGAGCGGAAAGTACTGGGGGCGAACCGACCGCCCCGTCCAGAACTGGGACTACATGAAACGGAACATACAGCTGTTACTGGTAGGATTTAAAAGACTGAGGAAGAAAATAAATAAATAAACGGTAAATGCGCGTGAAGATGCCAAGCGCGGGAACAGACTCAACAGCTGATCAGCTGCTAATTATCACCCGAGTTGTGATGAAAAACAGCGTTTATTATTAGAGCCGGTGGTTTTTAGCAGTTAAATATATATATTTTTAATTGCGTTAACTTTGAACGCTCCTTGGATTTGAGCCGAAACCCCAAACTGTGGAGCCAGAGGACTAAAGAGTTCAAACCAGGTAAGATTTCATTAAAATGTGAAGTTTTTTTACTGTTCAAAAGAAACAAAAAGCTCCTTAAAATAATTTCAACCATGTTGGAGTTGTGGTTTTGTAAACACTTTTCTTGTAAGAAAAGCTCATATGCTAAAAATGTTTATACTCCACCAAAAAAAAAAAAAAAAAAAAACTATTAGCAGGTGTATTTAATTTGCTAAATGTTGACTAAAATGATTAGTAGAAGTGTTAAAACTACTATTGCCAGAGGCTCTTTGACGTCACCATGGTAACCACACATCTCTGCCTTTCACTCCCTGACTGCCAAGTTACCAAAGGCAAACTGAGAAGAAAGCTTCAAACGGTTGCTGTGTGAAAACTACAAGTTGTATCTTTAAAAAATTGAAGCCAGGAATGGCAGAAGACTCTTGTGGTTCCACATGTGAATTTATTTTATTTACGTCTGAGAAAAGAGGTTGAGATTTTGAGCTAAAATAGAAGCCGCTGTGGAAGCTTGAGTGTGCACACCACATTTTGTGGGGGATTTTGGAGTAAACCAAGTCCTACCACAGTGACGTATACCTTTTTTATATGTACAAAACAATATTTGGGAAAGATTTGCCTGTGCCATTGAAAGATTTCTAAAAAAAATCATAAAGCTTAAGTTATGCTGGTGCGAAAAATCGTTAAAGCTACTGAAACGTGTGATGCCCAACATTTTGTGCCCCATTGATTTAAACTTTGGACAATGTTTCTGCTGTGAAGTCTGTCCGATGTGTGGAGCTCCAAAGCGGCCCGAGTTTTTCTCATCTCCCCAAATTCCCGTTGATCTGCAAGGATTTAGTGTTTGATTCATTGCGTTTTTTTGTCTGAAAATCATAGCAATTTAGATGGATATCGAGTTTATTTTATGAAGTAGTATTGTAATCGGCACGTTTATTAATAATAATAATGATAATACCACATCTGTTCTACCTTTTATAAACATTTTGTCTTTTTTAAATGGAAGCCTGGAGTGCAGCTGATTGGACACAAGGTTGCTTCACCTCAGCTCGCTGCCAGCAACATCCGGACCCACTTGCCAGAAATTCCACCTTTTTTTCATTTTGTTTTCCTCTGAGGGCAAAGAGCGTTTGATGTGGAAGATGGTGAGGCACGCAGCGGGGAGGACCGTGCAGCGCCGACTAAACTCAAACCAGAGAAAGGCGGTAGCAGTTCTGGCTTTTCATGCCAGATGCCTCGTCTTTGTCACCGATTCTCGCTGTGATCCGGCTCTGCCGCGGTGCTATCAATCGTATCTCGCTCTCAGCAGACTCCTGTGCTCATTAAGGATGTGAACCTGTTGGCATCCTGCCCCCCTCCCCTCCCAGCCATTCATCTTCCTCAGCAGGGAGCGGAGACTCACATCTGGAGCTGCATTTCTAAACACCAGCAAGCTCTTAGCCGTTCACAGAAGCATGATTTTAAAGGCATAACAGAAAACTAAACGGCAAATTAATCGTTTGACTCATAAGCACGTAATGGTTTGTGAATTAACTTTAAATAAAAAGCAGATGAGAGCAGGTGTAATGTTGAAAACAGTGTTGTTGTGAGTAAATGCACCTTAATGCTGCAGGCTGAAACAGCTGTAGTGAACTTGAGGGTTAAAAATAGAAACGGGCGTGACCTAACTTATTATTTATAGCAAGGACTGGAAAAGTGCTGCTTTTATGACTGGAGATGATCCTCCTGTGAGGTGATGGCTGCACCGTTTTTTGCTGTTTTTGCCTGGCGTGTTTAGAAATTTTTTTCGTATGTGTCAAAACGTAAAGAAATGATAGGGATGCTGTAGAAAGTTGACTCTTACGATGTACATGTAACGTTCATGACGCATTCCTGGTCTGTGTGGGGGAAACTTGAACATCATTTTCTTTCCAGGTTCATGTTTGTGGAACGAATGACAAGTAGAAAGTGTTAGTCTTCTATAAGAACACAGTACGCAACCTGTTTTTTTTTATTTTTATTTTAAAACAATTTATAGACGAGGTCACTCCAGAACCACATTGACTTCAACAACACAACATGTACTCAGCAGCAACCATGTCACGTTGTAAACAATGTATTTTTGTTGTAAATAAGCCAAGAACGCAAAGGAATACACAGCTCAAACAAGACTACTAAGAAAAAGAAACAACTGCACGTAAAACACCACAAGTACACCACATTATTGTACAAGTTCAAACATGAGATTGTGTTTCGCTATTGTTTGGGTGCTTCTACGTTATTATTTCACCATTTATGCGGTATAAGTAACGCTTCAAATTGATGTTTCACAATTTTTCATCATGATCAATAAATCTGTGGGTCTGATGATCACTGTATGGTGAGCTTCGTAAAGTAGCTGCACACAAATGCAGACAACTCATTGAAAATGCTTCATTTCTTGCAGTTCTTTCTAACGTACATCTGTGTGCCTTTAGTAAGTGATGGAGTAAAAAACACGCTAGAATAGTTGGAACAGATTTGTTGGTACCCTTAATATTTGCATTATAGTCACGTTTCAAACCAAGTGTTTGACCTAAATTCGAATCACAGGAGTCTTCAGTCTTTTCATACTACTGGTATGGTTGTGAGCACCTCAGGAACTTGGAGCAGAGAAACCAAAGTCCAAAGCTGTCTGAGGAGCTCTGACTGAATATTATAGATATCCTTGTTAAAAGTAAAGACCACAAGACCATGCCCAAGCAGCTTCACGCTTCTCTAATCACAGCTGACGATAATATTAAAACTTTATAAGGTTCATGGGACGGTAGCCAACCTCCTAGTGTGTGGATGCAAGAGAAAATGCAACCCCAGGTTGATCAGATGGTGCTGATGTAGAAAAAGAGCCAAAGTGTTCAAGCTGAACTCCAAAGTCGAGTTTAATTTTTTTGAGGGAGAGTTTCACTGTTAAAATCACAAACAAACAAGCAAGAATTGATCAAAATACATGTTGAAGAGCCTCAAAATGTCTGACGAATGAGACAAAACAAACTTTTTTTGTTTTTAGTCACATCGGTTTATTTATTTGTTTATTTTTTATGTATATTGTGGAGAAAAACAACAAATTTATCCACATTTGCTTCTTAATTTTCACAAACAAGAAAAAGTGCATGGGAGTTTGACCAACCGGTCTACATGTGCTTTGTGGACTTGGAGAAGGCGTTCGACCGCATCCCTCGGGGAACCCTGTGGGTGGTACTCTGGGAGTATGGGGTACCAGGCTCTTTGATACGGGCTCTTAGGTCCCTGTATGACCGGTGTCAGAGCTTGGCCCGCATTGCCGGCAGTAATTCGGGCTCGTTCCCAGAGAGAGTTGGACTACGCCATGGTTGCCCTTTGTCACCGATTCTGTTCATAACTTTTATGGACAGAATTTCTAGGCGCAGCCAAGGTGCTGAGGGGATCCGTTTTGGTGGCCTAAGGATCACATCTCTGCTTTTTGCAGATGATGTGATCCAATTGACTTCATCGGGTCATGATCTACAACTTTCACTGGAGCAGTTCGCAGCTGAGTGTAACGCGGCCGAGATGAGGATCAGTTCCTCCAAATCCGAGGCCATGGTCTTGAGCCGGAAAAGGGTAGAGTGCCCTCTCTGGGTCAGGGAGGAGGTCCTGCCCCAAGTGGAGGAGTTAAAGTATCTTGGGGTCTTGTTCACGAATGACGAAAAAATGGAGCGAGAGATTGATAGACTGATGCGTCTGCAGTGAAGTGGGCACTGTACCGGTCTGTCGTGGTGAAGAGAGAGCTGAGTCAAAAGGCGACGCTCTCAATTTACCGGTCGATCTACGTTCCCACCCTCATCTATGGTCATGAGCTTTGGGTTGTGACCAAAAGAACAAGATCACAGATACAAGCGGCCGAAATGAGTTTTCTCCGCAGGGTGTCTGGATTCTCCCTTATAGATAGGGTGAGAAGCTCGATCATCCGGGAGGGACTCGGAGTAGAGCAGCAGCTTCTCCACGTCGAGAGGAGCCAGTTGAGGTGGCTCGGGCATCTGGTTAGGATTCCTCCTGGACGTCTCCCTGGTGAGGTGTTCCGGACACGTCCCACTGGGAGGAGACCCAGAGGAAGACCCAGGACACGCTGGCAGTTTCTTATGTTTCTCTGCTGGCCTGGGAACGCTTCGGGATTCCCCTGGAGGAGCTGGACCAAGTGGCTGGGGAGAGGGAAGTCTGGGCCTCCCTACTTAAGCTGCTACCCCCACAACCTGACCCTGGATAAGCAGAAGGGGATGGATGGATGGATGGAAGAAAAAGTTCAAATTTTGCTTAAGAAATAGTTTTAGAATTGTTTATGAATATTCATTTATTTGATCAAGAGGACAAACGCAGCATGCGAGTCGTTTACTACACATACAGGATTTAAAACCTGTTTTCAGATAAGTCTGTTCTTCTTTAATGTCCCTTCACTTTTAGTCCTTTTATTTTTTTTTTAATGAAACCTTTTTTAATGTGCTGTCCACAAAGTCGTGGACCGTTAACCCCCACCTCGGTCAGTCACAACAATCAGTCTCCAGAGAGTCTGTAATGCAGCTGCCCCGTCACAACACATGTCAGCGCTCGGTGAAAAGAGTGTCGTATGAAACCCCCTGGAGGACCCTGAGCCCGCTTCATCATGCCACTGCAGCCGAGGCGGGACCTTGATAGCTCCTGACAGGCTGCCACAAACAAACCAAGGAGTGGAGACAACAGCAGCTCGGTGTTTGTTTTTTCCCTCCATATGGTTATTAAAATTTTAAGATTCTTTTTTTTTTTCAGTTTAGTTGAAATAAAGATGATGAAAATAGTCGAGCGTCTCTGCAGAACATCTGATTCATTCAGCAGGTCTGAATGCTGCTGCTGGGTGACTGTCGTCCACCTTTCTAGCTGGAGGCTAATCGCTTTCCGTTCAAGTGCCCAGTTTGGATTCATGAGTCACAGAGCCTTGTTGTTGCTCCTCCAAGGAGAGCCTGGTGTCATAAAACCTATTATCTGCTCTAGATCTGCGCTCCCCCGCTGTGATC